GTCTGAATTGTCCGATTTTTTTTCATGCTCACAAGGCTTAATGTAAGGTGAGGGGTTATCTCCCTTTTTGTACTCAATGTATGTGAATGATTTCGAAAATGAACTTATTAATTCCTCGTGTGAGGCTTTATTCTTAAGAGACGTTTCTTTATTTCTATTAATGCACGCAGATGACACTGTTTTGTTTTCAGAGTCTGCTACTGGTTTACAAAATTTACTTGGTTCTTTAGAACAGTACAGTAACAAATGGCAATTGACACTTAATTCGGAGAAAACAAAAATTGTTATATTTCGAAATGGTGGGAGGTTACGTATTGGTGAAAAGTTTTATTTTAGTGGCAATGAAATAGAAATTGTTGATAAATTTAATTATCTTGGAGTATTGCTCAACTTTAATGGTAAGTTTACTAAAACTCAAATTACAATTGCTGAACAAGGTCGTAAATGTATGTTTAATGTACTAAGAATTTGCAACAATTTGTCCCTTAATGTAGAATCTAAACTGAATGTTTTTGATGTATATGTTTCCTCTGTTCTTAATTATGGTTGTGAAACATGGGGTTTTAATTCTGCGGATGAAGTAGAAAAAGTACATATTGATTTTTTAAAAAGAATTTTGAATGTAAAAAAGAGTACTCCATCTTTTATAGTTTACTCAGAGTTAGGTCGCTTGCCTTTACATATTATCAGAAAATGTCGTATAATCAAATACTGGCTAAAACTTATTAAATGCGATAATTGTGTTCTTAAATCAATTTATGAAGAAATGACTAAATGTAATCATAGAAAATGTAATTGGCGTTGTCAAGTTAAAAACCTGTTATTCTCTTCCGGTTTTGGAAATGTATGGTTAACACATTATGTTGATAATGAAAAGTTATTTTTGCAGAGCCTTAAGCAGCGCTTGACTGATAATTTTATTCAGGCAAGGAATGAATTTGTTGACCAGTCATCAAAATGTTACCTGTATAAGTTTCTGATCGGCAGTTTTACATTGCAATTTTATTTGACAAAGTCTATCCCTGATGTGTATCTTAAACTCATCTCTAAATTACGGCTCTCATCGCACCAGTTATCCGTAGAAGAGGGACGGTATCGTAATATTCCGAGGGCAAAACGGCTTTGCCGTCATTGTGATTAAAATCAGGTAGAGGACGAATTCCATTTTGTTTTGGTCTGTCCACAGTATGTAGATAATCGCAAAAAATTTATAAAGAAGTATTACTGGAACCGTCCATCGTCTGATAAGTTAATTCAATTGCTTTCTGTAAAAAATAGAAAAGAGCTGTGTAATTTAGGGAAGTTTTTGCAATTAAGTTTTTAACTAGGTCTAGATTCTACCATTAAATTACTACTGTTTCTATCTCTAGGTTTATATTCGTTATATTTACTGTTGTCGTCTATCTCCTGACTACACCACTTTGTAACTGTTATAATAAGCTTTATGCCCAAGCTTATGTAACGCTCAGATAATGGAACTTTGTCTTTATCTTCTGTCGTCCGACTTCAGTTTGTTAGATCCATTATATTATTATATTGTATTCTCAGCATCCCATCTTCCATTAATTTGTATATCTTGCACATCAATGTTAATTAACTGTATTTAAACTAAATGCGTATATGCTGTAAAAGAATGTTATATATGTACTCTGTATACTTATGAGCCGTAAGGCTTAAAGTGAATAAACAATACAATACAATACAATACAACACAATACATGGGTATTATACATACATACATAAACATGTTATAATTGATGTATATGGAGAGTGACCTCCCTTGACGAATATGCTTAATAATGTATAATAAACATGTACAACTTCATATAAATACATAACCAGAACGTAACTAAATCATAAAGCACATTCTCACACACACCCTCACATGAACGTTCACATACATTGTACGCACACATGCTTTAATGAATAAACTCCAGTACTCACTCGCTTACATGCGAATCCGCGCATACCCTTATCTTTCAGAATTATCAACTAAGTCAATCAATGAAAGTGGAAACTGTTGCGTAAGAAAAAGTTAACGTTTACAAATCAAATCTAATTAATAATGTTTAATCAATAACTATCGAAGGAAGTGATCCTGAGGTAATGGCCATAATGATAATTGTTGTACTGTGCATGGTTATACAGAACATCTTTGCATTCGAAATTTATTTCATATCCAGATACAGCCAAGTGCACTTGTATGTATATCTTTACACCTATATGTATATATATTTATAAATGATTCCACTATGAACAGCTACCATGGCAAGCTAGTTAGACTTGTAAATAAACAACAAAGGCTCAATATTAATTGAAATTGGCCGTTTTTATTAACGACGCAAATATATAAATGTACATATGTAAACTCTCATGAATGTACATCATATACCAAATGTTCCTGTTAACAATGTTATGAAAAAATATTAAACAAGTCTAAGATGGGGATAAAAAAACGCCACAGAGATAACTTTCCCTAGGTGCAACCTATGGGTAAGGAATCTCTCCCCCATCCGCTGCCATATATATATATACTGGGTAACTCGAGTACGAACCTATAAACTGACCATTCATTATATACCACGGTTATTCATATCCCCTCCCATGAATACAGAGTAATTATTTTCTCACAATAATGCCACCACCTGTGCACAGGTCATATTTCAGACGTTTATACACTTCTCTCATCAGCATTAAGTTACCTGTAACCTTAACATAGGAAGTAATTGCTATACGCCCCAGGACAGTTAACGTCCACACCTCGGCGGCAGGCATTTTTTATCCCCCGCTCCCCATCCTTCCTATCAAAAATGACATGGTAATGAATGGTCAATTCCAAATTGAATATCCTGGTAATTTTCCACTTTAATAATTGCTACGTTGTTTTAATTATCAAATTATCAAGCGGTACATTTCCCTTCCCAATCAGATTATGATTTTTGATCACTTTATTCCATATGTATTATCGGTATACATATATAAACAATACAATCAATATAAAGACAAACACACCGCCCACCACACCCTAACACACACCCTACCATATATCACGCATGCGCACACACTCAAATACTGGCCGGTTGCAGTTTAGCATAGAGAGATATCTCACAAACATTACTCAAATTTAAGCAGTTTCGTAATGAAAAATTTATTAATACATTGAAATGACGAATCATAAAAATTACATTTGCAAAGCGGAAAATTTCTGAGATTTTTAATGCCGTGGATTTATAAATTAATCTCTTCAGTATAGACAGAGACGTCTCTGGTATAGAGTGATATTTCTGCTGTGAATAGCTCAAACAGCGTGTTGTTTAAAGAAAAACAAAAACAAAACTGAAAGTATTTGTCACAAAAGTTAGCGAGACTGAGATTTTAATACTAATATACTGTTTGTTTTGAAAAGATTAATAACGAACTTTCATTTACCTTACTTGCATTGTAGAAACCATTTAAATTTTGAACATATTGGTCGTATCTCCCACCAATCGTCTTTGGGCTAGAATAAGAAGATTCTGCTTTCGAAGTCTCTTTCAAAGTAGACTTGTGATATCCATCTAGAGAGTAACTTAAGATCTCTGTGTATATTTTCAACAACGTTTTATCTCACAATATGTACTTATTACATATACTATATTTTCCAAGTTAGACTTTATCGAGTCTTGTGAAGGAAGCTTCTAGATATTATTGATGTATGGAAGGTCAGGCGTGCTATGTTATTTACCACAAAAATGTATTGCATGTATTTTGAAATAATTTAATCCGGTGGAAATAAGACACAAGATGTTTCATCACAGTTCAATGAAATTTTATTTAAGACTAACATTATCCGAATAACATAAAAAAAAAATCGATATAAGTAAAACGATTATCACGATATAAAATTTTAAAAAAAATAGAATGATAGCACACACAAGCACTATCTCTGGTTAATATGACATAACATAATTGAAACAAAAGCCTCTCAGTCTTAAGGAAGTTTTAGTTAGCAAACAGAGAAATCTTGCAATTGTTTAAAATCTTAGTTGATATTATAATGATGCTACAACGACACAGCGTAGACTGTACATAACAGTACGTAAACACGACTGACTCATTGGGTCTAACGGTCACGTGGGCTATGTAAAAACTACGGATTTTGTTGTTATGACTTGTCATAAAAATCATCTTTTTAAAGCGTTCGACAATTTGAACTATATTACATATGTTGATGATATGTAGAACTTGTCCTGGGTAAGTAAGTGCGATTTTTGCAAACAATTTCTAATACATCAACAGTAAGGTGAGCGATTACTCGATCCAGCGATAAAAACAAATTTTTGATGGATTCTTGTGAGGTAAAGAAATCCAATACAAACATATGTTATAACTAAAGCGTGATTTCTTCTTTTGAAACAGTTGATAATATATTGATAGAGTGTCCTCCGTTTTCGAGAAAGCCTACTGCTTTTTTCTACACAGGAAGTGAATTGATTTCTGCAAACAATAATCAAGCTATTACATGCCCTTCAACACATATATGATGTAGGTCGTAAAGTGGTTTGACATGAGGACAAAGAATAGGGGTTTGCAAACTGGATGTGCTTTTAAAAATGAAAAATCGAATGGATTTAAATTCACTATGGAAGTGAATCCAACGCGTTGTGTTCTTCTTTCACCTGCTCTCTAACATAGCTTTCCACGGCAGAAAGAACTAATAGTCACTTAAGTGTTGTCATACGCATTAAATGTCACTTCGGTAACTGTCTCTAGTTTACTTATATCTGAATCCGTTATATATTGTATACTGTCTATATGCAGTACCATTGCCTATGTAAGCAAAACGTACGTTAATACCCCGACAACCACGATGACTTTCCCTATATTTAAATCACGGTGGGTGGATCCGCTTAAGTGATTGTTTTAGTCTACAACCGACCATTAATACGAATTGGTGGTTAGAAGAAGTAACGATATCGAACTGCAGTAACTTGCTGCGGGGGAACTCTCCTTTCTTTCTTTTAGTATTTGTTTGGAGTTTGGTTAACAAACGTGTCCACGGAGTCGTCGTAAGCACGGGACCATGGAGTGTGATGTTTAATCCCCGACTTTCCGGTGTGAACCGAGGTATACGCATGATCGCGGTATGTCCAGATATTCTTCCGCTTGTCGTTCTCCCATTTGTTGAAGAGAGTGCGCACATCTATGTCGTATGTACAGCCTACTTCCTTTGCCAGATCACACCCAAAATCGGATTGGAAGGCGATTTCATCGAAACGACCATCCAGTTGTTCTTGCTTCCTCCGCCATATCCTAATATCGGACTCCATGTCTTCCCTGGTAGGAAGTTGTTTGTGTCCTGATACGACTGCGCTTGCCCACTCGGCTTGGATGTTGAACATAGTGTACGAATAGTACTGACCATACATGCCAAGGTAAAGCAGTTTGTTGTTGCCGTCGCCCATCCATACCGTCCCCTTATACAAGCCAGCCGGATATAATTCAAGTGCCGTCTTGAGACGGAGGGAGTCCGGCAAGTACGGAAAGTTATATAAATATCCAGTGCAAAGAATGATGGCATCAACATCTGCCGTCGTCCCGTCGTTGAAGTGAATTGTACTTCCGTCTACCCTTGTTAATGGTGGACGTTCCTCGATCCCGTTGTGCCAGTGATAATTCGTTGGCTTTCTCCGGTAGCTGATGATAACATTATCGGATCCCATTTTCCTACATTGCATCGCGATGTCTTCTGCTGAATAACTAGAGCCGACTATCAGAATTCGTTGACCCTTGAACTCATTAGCTCGTCTGAAGTCATGTGAATGCAGAATTCTACCTGGAAACTTATCGATGCCTTCAAAGGAGGGAACTTTTGGGACCGAGAAGTGACCGGTAGCCACTATGACGTGAGAGAATCTCTCTGGTGGGAGATCCTTGTCATTGCTCAGATCCTTGGTCATAACTGTGAAATCGTCCGTCTCCTTATTGTAGGTCACGCGTTGTACATTTGTATTAAAGGTGATGTAGTTACGAAGATTACTCTTGTTCCATCGACCTGTCAAACAAAGGACAATCAATTGCGATAGCTTGTATGGTTACAATTCATAATGTCCACCTGTTGATTTTTAAGGTTAAAACAAAATCTGTATCTGTATCTCAAAGATTAACACAAAATCTACGTCTGTAGTACATTTCAGAGGACAGATCAAGATCAATGTCAAAGGCGCAAGCAATCACTTATCAAATGTGAGAGAGTCGCTTGAAGGTTATTGTTGCTTTTCAAGCGCACGAAAAGGATATATTTTAAAAATGACTTTCATTTATAAAAATAACGATAACAATAACGATAATAATTATTTCGCGACGAAAATGCGTAATCGCGACATGGCACATATCAGCCACCATATTTAAGGCAACATGTTCACGGAATTAGTAATCTTTCTTTCTTCACACCATAGTATTGTATTCTGAGGTTAGACGAATTATGTTCAGTAGAGTCTAATAATTTGTAAAGAAATAATGTCTGGTTTGGAAATAATGTCTGGTTTGGAAATAATGTCTGGCTTGTTCTTCTGGAGAGATAGACGTTTAATGGTATATTGGAAGGTTTACATACATTAAAACCGTGGAGTTTAGATTTGTTACCGGGTATTTTGATTTGTATATATATCTATTTTTTTTATTTATGCTATCAAATACATCTAGACTGACAATAAAAACGTGATAATTAATATCGTATTATTATTGGTTACCTTGTAGGTAATCGAACAGAACAGCCCGTGGAGGAAACGAAGGGATAGCCTTTCCGAAGTGATCATCAAAGGTGTAATCGTGTAATTCCAGGCACTCTTTAGGACCATTCGACCAGAGGTCTCGGTACATGCTTCCGTGACACACATTGCCCTGCTCATCCGTACCTATCGAATAACCACATTTGCAAAAAATAAAAGATATTTTCGGCGTTAAAATTTGTGATAGAGCCGGTACTACGGGTCACAAGGTAGGCATGGTATTAATGAAGCTATCTAAATGGAGCTATATACACACGGACTTGTTACCTTCTGTTGTTCTACCACTAGATATGCAAATCTAGAAAATCCTTTCTCTAACTTTAATGTTATCTATACACGACAGGGGAATGGTCCTATCGATTACAGATGTCTATTCAGTGTAACAGCCTTATATTTGATTAAACTATCTGTAACAATATTCACCGACATGTATTAAATCATGTTACTAAACAACATAAATAAGTGAACAGTAATCAAGGTTTCAACCACTAATTCCAATGTTAATAAAGGTTTTGAAAATTCTTGTTGAAGGAAAGACATCAGTCTTATATTCATGTGTGTCAAATTAAAAAATGTTCATTTTATTTTTCAACATATGAAATGAAGAGAAACCTACATATGCTTAGTGCTTCTAAAGAACTAGAGATAACTAACTTTTATAGTAAAAATGACAGGATGACTGCCTGTCAGTCATTTTGTTAGGGACACAGGTCAATTTGAAAAGTCTACCATCTGATTACAATGGTCTTAAAACTGTATTCCTCCTCCTGTTGTTGATGTGCAAATTATGAATGAATAATAAAATCACAAATATTTAGGTCGTTTTATTCAATTCGGAAAGAACACTTAGTAACCACATCAAAGTTATTTATGAAAGAATCATATCAAAGATGAGAGAGGTTGAGAGAAATTAATCGTTTACACTTTAATGTTCATATGTATGTATATATCTCTTCTTGAATATGCAGATGTTATTAGGAAAAATTTAATTTTTTTTTTTTTTTTTTTTTGCAAATTTATTAGGATAGAAGCCATAAAAATGTTTTACGACGACGAAGTGGAACATATCATTAAAAACTTCACAAAGAAAATGGTTTAGAACCTATGTATAAAATATGTAAATCTAAATAATATGAATAAATCTTATTTGCCAAACTTCATAATATAAGTACAGAATTTTCAATACTGGAATATTTTTCTGTATTAAACGTCCCTTCAAGAAACATATAAAATCATATGAGCATATATTAGTTTAAAGATATTTTATTTATTTATTTCATACGTGTCATAATTGTACATCATTATTACAAATATAAATAGGATTCAGAAAAAAGTATAACAATACTTATGTAAATCTGTCTCTTAATATAGAGTGACAAGCAGGTGACAACATAATACTTGTAGCTAAGCATTGATAACATTACTGATGTAAATGAACGAGAGAGAGAGAGGGGGGAAGGGGAGTATTAAGACTTTATAATTACATGTACCCAACCGAAATACAGTTACATATATGTGTGGGAAGCATATATACAGACGAGACAATTAAGGAATTTAGTTTTGTTAAGTTTTATTAATGTATTGCTGCACAATGCTACAAATTCTTTGGTTCTCTTAAATAGTTAAGTTATGATCTCCGTGTAGTAGTTGGTCAAGAGTATAATTTACAGGAAGATTTGTAAAGCATTCATTCCTTACATCGGTATAGGTAGGACAGAGCATAAGAAAGTGCTCGGTTGTTTCGTGTCCCTGTCTACACAAACAATAGGGATCTTCAACCAGATTACGTCGAAATAGATGAGCGTTTAAGGAACTACAGTTCATTCATAGTCTGGCTTGATGAACCTGATCGGTGCGTTTTCCATAACTATAATAAGCAGGGACTGTAGGGGAGTGTCAGTACAGGTAGCGTTTTAAGTTACTTATAGAGGGATTATTTTTAATTTCGCGGGGTAACGAGTTCCAGAGGTCATTAGAAGAAGGAAGAAGGGATCGTTTGTAGAAGTTGGTCTTGCAGAATATGCCGCTTAATTTATCAGCATCACGCGTATTGTATTGGTGAGTATCGTGTCTGCGATGCCGGAGTAGATTAGAGAGGTATGGAGGAGTGAGGTCAAAAATCATTTTATGTATCTGAACACTTTTCTTTACGTTACGACGGAATTGTAAAGTGACCCAGCCAGTCTCCTCATAAAGTTTGATATGACTAGTTAATTTGGTTCCCCCTGTTACGATCCTAGATGCTTCCAGTTGAATATTCTCCAGTGACTGAGACTGTATGGCAGTAAGATTATTCCACGCAATATCACCATTTTCAAGAATGGGTCTGACGAAAGAAAAATATAAGGTTTGAAGGGAATTTCTGTCAACTTTGAATTTAACTTTCCTACGGTTGGCTAGTTTACTAGACGCTTTCTTTATAATATACATGTAATTGATATGTTCCGTTCAAGTGCCATCATGAGAAAGGACAATACCGATGTGTTTGTGATGTTGAACCTCATTAACAGGAATAACATTCATATATAAAGGGGGATGGTTAGGTTTATTAACTTTCTTACTAATAACAAGTGATTCAGTTTTATCGGGAAAAAAATTTACCAAACATTGCTCTGACCATGCATACATTTTCCTTAAATTTTCATTTAAAAAGTTTGCGCACTGTGACGGAGTATCAATTATAGTATAGAGAGACGTGTCATCTGCAAAAAGTTTTATTACAGCACTAGAGAGCTTTTCTCTATACATATAATAATTACCTTGGTCATACAGACAAATATTACGTTTCAGTGACGACTTTTTAGGTACGGTTATGTTTAGGCTACATAATACTGGACAATGATATCGCAGAGGCTGATCCAAAATGCTTTTTCCAACAGAGCATTTGTTAACCAAACTTGGATTACTAACACATATAACATCAAGAAGGGAGGACGAATTATCAGTGTAGAAAGTAGCAGATGAAATCATTTGGGATAAATCATAAACCTGGAGCAAATCATGAAGTTAACAACGGACTGATTATTAGTTACATAATTCGCATTCAAGTCTCCTGTTAAAATAATATTGTCACATCCCATATTATATGCAAGTTCTAAAGAATGTGAAATATGGTCCCACTGGGATACTGGGGAGTTGGGACTTACTTTCAAATGCGCAACACAAGTTCGAAATAATTTTAAATTGAGTAATCCTATCCAAGCACTGTAAAGTGACAGTGAGATGGGTATTATGTCACATCAGTACTAATGTAGAATGGTAACAAACGATATTGTGTTCGGACAGGACTTGTTGGGTGTAATGTCAACATTAGTACATGTGAAATAGCAGAAAGGGGTCGGGGATAATATAAAAGGAAGGTCCCTAACATTTCAATTGAAGACTTGTCTATATATGACAATGAGGGGTGATAGGTTGACAGATACATGTGTAATGGCAACGTATTACTAGAAAATCTAGTAACATATATATATCTAGCTTAACAAGTTACTCCTTACACGGCCACACCAGGACTGACTATATTTGCTATGATCTTACATTTTATCCTAAAGTAATTATGATCCATTTCCGATAGGGAAAGTGTCTTCAACTGATCTACACACTTCGCACTCGTGAAAGATACCAAAATATTAGCCACACTAGTGAAATATATTTGTTATTACTGAAGACACTATTAAATATCCTATATTTCTATAGATGTGTAATGTCGATAGAAAATAAGCTATTACAGAAAGTACAATGTATGACTACAGGGCAATCTCACCTGTTCTCCAGGTATAGTTCCACAAACCTCCCCAGTTAGACTGTTTTTCATAACACACGACGTCTGCGCACTCTTTCCCAGCAACTTTTAACTGATTATTGTGGTAGAGAAAGGACATACCACACGGCCCCGCACCTATAACACACACACGTCTGTTCGCTGTCATGGTGTACGGCATTAAATGAAAAATCAAGATTTTCTTGTGCTCTTATAGCAATTGTACGTCACAGAGTTGGGGATTCCCCAATATGTAAATATATAGACAGTCCTACTCTTTTGCTTAATCGACGGCATACCAAGGTATGGAAGGGTATGCCTGCCAAAAGTCTATGTATCTTTCTTACATTCCAATTCGTCTTCCTCACATATTCATGTTTACATTTGTACTTCTGTGTCACTTAATTACATGTTCATTTTGTCATCCTGAATTCTATTCCATCTTCTTTTCATCCTCGTTCATCTTATTTCCTGGTTTATTATTACAATTGTACATGCTGGTCGCCTATTGCATTCTTCTTGTTGGTGTTTGTTAGTAACGCACTGCATTTAGGACGACGCATATTATGAACCACAAAGCACGAAGACGAAAGCTAGTTGGAACGCTGCGTTTTTTATCGATAGATGGCGCTGTTGCAAGAACAAAAAAGGATTTCTCCCCTTTTACGAAACTAATAGCGCCAAATCTAGAGTAAGAGGAGGGCCACTTTTATGGAAGGGTATGCCAGTCAAAAGTCTATGTATCTTTCTTACATTCCAATTCGTCTTCCTCACATTTTCATGTTTACATTTGTACTTCTGTGTCACTTCATTACATGTTCTATTTGTCATCCTGAATTCTATTCCATCTTCTTTTCATCCTCGTTCATCTTGTTTCCTGGTTTATTATTACATTTGTACATGCTGGTCGCCTATTGCATTCTTCTTGTTGGTGTTTGTTAGTAACGCACTGCATTTAGGACGACGCATATTATGAACCACAAAGCACGAAGACGAAAGCGAGTTGGAACGCTGCGTTTTTTATCGACAGATGGCGCTGTTAAAAGTAAAACGATTTCTCCCCAAAAATATACGAAACTACCAACTAGCTGTTAAAGGCGAAAGTGAAAGTAGGCCTACAGCAAATATGGCTGTCTTTGAAATGAAAGAATTACTTCGAAGAAAGATATTACATACAGCCCAATGTATCGAAGAAGGACGAACAAGTAACTTGTCCAGCGATACAGAAGGTGTTGTGTCCATGGCTTGTCAGTTATCCAGTATAACAAATATAGACGAATCATTAAATATCCTGGAGTGTATTTTAAGTATGTTACCAGAAATACGTGATTCAAAAGAAGTGAGAACGTTTTCGCGACCTAACTTGGTTCCAGGGCATACAGGGAGACCGAGCTTTCATATACCAATTGATGTTTTAGAGTTTTTGCTGGACAGTAGATTCAAAGTACAAGACATTGCTGATATGCTCGGTGTAGGGAAAAGAACCATCGAGAGAAGACTACAACAGGTTGGATTAAGTGTATCTAAAACATACTCGGACATAAATGATATCGAATTAGAAGAAAAAATACGGAAAATAGTACAGTCAAACTTCGATAATTCGATATTCAAGGGGCCGTCATAAAAATATCGATACATCGGGACTTCGATACAAAAATAGTTCAGTCAAATAGCTGGTCCATGTAATAGGGGTCCGTATTTAAAAGTTTTTTTCATTATGTTTTAGACAAAAGATAACAATTATGTGTGTATTAATGATTTAAATAAAGACTCAACATTCAAAAACAGTTAAATTGAATTTTATTACGACCAAACAACAATAAATAACATGAAACATTCGAAGTACATGGCAATGAAGTATCACACGTAAATGACGAAATGGGTAAATGTATTTTACGGAACAGAAAAATCACATGTCACGAAAAGCACGAAATTGGCACTGTCAGTTATTTAGTACTCTTAAACACTATCACCATTAGCACTAAAACACAAATAACACATTAATCAGTCACACTTAGAAACAGTTCCAAAGAACTCACTCAGGGTACACTGTTTTCTCTCGAGGAGGAAATACTGTTGGATGGAATAACTGACGTCGGCAATCTGTGAGGCGGCTGAGTATGTATCAATCTTTCTAACATAGCATATATTACTGTTCAAACTAATTTTTGGTCATTGACTAATTGTATACAAGAGGTGGTAAAATGCCATTGTCCTGATCGACCGTAACGGTAAACAAAAGATTAACGCTGGAGGGTCTCGCTACAGGTGTGAATTTGTTTCGGTCGACTGACCATCGAGCACAGTGACCACAGGTAAATTTTGATCGATTTATTCATGGTGATTTTGAACGAATTTATATGACTTGTACTGTAGAAAATTATCGAAACACCGAGAATATCGAAACATAAATGATCGATTCATGAGTAGTGAGTTAAGTAGAAATATATAAGGAAAATAGTCGGGACCAAGGAAAAATATCGACACAGCGAGAATATCGAATCATCGAAGATCGATTCATCGAATTTTGTCTATATTGCTTATTGTTATCAGTAGTCAATTTCAGTTAAGCAGTAGGACAGATGTGTTCAAAAAGTGGGCAATAGTAGCTGTAGTGGTGATAAAGAGCTCAGTAGCAATCACATATCTCAACCTGCATGTTGATGTTCTGAAAGCAAGATTAAATACTAGTTTCCAAGTTTCATATTGTATTTTAACTGGCTGAAACCTTTCCTGATTTCCTATTCTGAGTAAATATGCTCTTTGTAATTTCGTATTTTTTTTTAATTTCCTAGATTGAAGAGGCCACTCTGGAGACAATTGGAAATGTCTATAATGAGCACATCTCTATGTTTGAAGCCACCGGATACACCAAGATTCTAACTTTGGACAATAAAGATGAGGCAATTAAGGCTTTGAAGGCTTTCTACCTGCTCTATCGACCAATGGCTTTAATAAATCAGTTCATGGAAGGTATTTACCACTACCTCTGTTTACCTCCAGCTTACAAGTTCAGAATTCAAAGTCGAATCTTTCCTGGTAAACATACAAGCAAAGGTGACCAGAATCAATGAGGACATGCTTGATCACAGGTCAGAGTCAACGATTTCAAATTTTACCTCTTACAACTGGTAAATATTTTGTTGGGAAATACGAGGTAAACTTCATCAGAATGAAATGAGCAAGTGCATGATCAAAAGTCAAGGTCAAATTTCTTCATAGATAAGTAATTCCTGAAATAATGGATTGAAGACGATTGGAATAAGATGAAAAGACACAATAAATACATCAAAGTTATGAATTACCTGGTAAATATAAAAGTCAAGCTGTTTATCTCTTCACTGAAAAATATCTGTTAATGAACAGAAAATGCTGTTCTTGGTTGATATTAAAGAGGAAAAATAAGTTTTTGCTCACAAAATCAGACATCTGGTTGTACCGGTATATCATCCTTCCTGTAACAAGCAATATGAAAGACATACTATATGTCTCCGAGATAGTTGTTTCCTCATGGAAGCTTCATTCAAGGTTTTTTTCTTTAGATATGTTGAGATAGATCATGCTGTACTACACACATTATGACATCTGGCCCACTGCACACAATCAACAAAATTAATATTCTGGTGTATTCACTCTTTATTAGCTCACCTGGTCCGAAGGACCAAGGTGAGCGTATGCCATACCGTGGCGTCTGTCGTCGTCCGGCCGTCCTTTCAGCCGTCAACAATCAACTTCTTCTCCAAAATCACTAATTGAATTTCCACCAAATTTGGTAGAGAGCATCCCTGGGCGGCAGGGACTCAGATTTATACAAATGATGGGGCTGGCCCCCCAGGGGCCTGAGGGGCGGGGCCAAAAGGTGTCAATTTAGAAATATTCATAAAATAAACTTCTCTGAAACTAAGCGTAGCATAATATTCATTTTTCTTCACAAGCAATCCTAGGTAGCAGGGACTCAAATTCATACAAATGATGGGGCTCACCCGCCAGGGCCCTGAGGGGCGGGGTCAAAGGGGTCAATTTGGCAATATTCATAAAATTTCTGAAACCTTTGAGATCCCCACCCCATAACCATATATAGTTTTGTTAGGCATAAAGAGATGAACACAATAAGCATGTAGCAATCGGCCCCTGGGTCTGGCCCAACCCCATGGGCTTCGTTTTCAAAATCCTACTTCTTTTGCAAGGATCATTCTCAATTTTCATATGTAGGGACACCTTCATACCTACTTACCCATATTGCTTTCGGAACTGATCCCTCCAAAATATGACCGACTGGTTGCCATCTTTGATTTTGTTAGAGCAAAGGATTTATAGCTATTTCTCATCAAGTAATAACTTGATCTTTCAAATTTTATATGTAAGTTCCCTTTCACATCTATTTACGCATATTGCCTTTTGAAACTGATCCGAAAAAAATGCCTGCCTGCCAGGTGAGCGATACAGGCCCTTTGGGTCTCTTGTTAAAAGGAGTGATTATTTTATGACAGTACTGTGTAATGTAATATATGCAATTATTTTCTGCTCGCATACCTGTTATAATTTTAAATCGGCCTGTGGTGGGAATCAGAAACTATAATCAAGAAAGGAGTTATTTCCTAAGTGAGTGAGGCAGTTATAAATACATCTCTGAACCTAGTTTAAAAGGTTAAAAGTATAGGTCACCTTACCAGCTTTTGCTGGTGTGAATTTCCCTCTAGTCTGGATCTAGGATGTTTGCATGGAGAGCAAGAGATCACTGGCTCATGCTGGGGTGTGAGAGTGGTATTTTTCTATTTTGCTTCCTATTACACCAGCGCGTGGATCTTCAACAAGATTTATAAAACTAATCCTTGTATATGTATACTCAGAAGGGCCTGACCTGAGTTATGTAATGCTTACCTAGGATCTTGCATTCATGTTAGTGTCCTTCATAAATTTTACTTGGATGACTGTTAGGTCTCTTGGCATCTTGTTTATAAAAAGGATAATATTTTTTTTCTTATAATGTTTATTACAATTCAAAATAAGAAACAACATTGATGTATGGTTTCACTATGATCATTTCAGAGGGGAGAATTTCTACACCATGGCTGTCCATGGATACAGGCGTAGAAGACATTGTGGAACTAAACATGGGCCACCTTTGTCAGGCACTGTTGGGTTGCCCAAAACTTCTGACAAGCATGA